TGCATACAAGAAACACACTTAATTCAAAAAGAACCTCACAGACAAAGTTAAAGTGGAGAAAACAATACTCCATGTCACAGGAACCCGAAAAAATACAGGAGTTGCTATCCTGTTTGCAGATTAAGTGGATTTCAAACCAACACTGATTAAGAGAGACAAAGAAGGACACTACATCCTTGTAAAGGGAACAATCTAAGAGGAAGAGATGACAATCATAAATATATATACACCAAACACTAGTGCACCCAACTATATAAAACAAATACTAATGGATATGAAAAATCAAATCAGCACTAACACAGTACTAATGGGGGACCTCAATACCCCACTGTCACAAATAGATAGATCAATTAAACCAAAAATAAGCAATGAAATACTAGAATTCAATCAAACTCTTGAACAAATGAATTTAACAGCTGTTTACAGAGTGTTCCAGGAAAGGAAGACGTCAAATTGTCATTATTCACAGTTGACATAATACTCTATATAGAAGACCCCAAGAACTCCACCAAAAGTCTTCAAGACTTAATAACCAAATTCAGTAAAATAATCTGATTATGGACTGAAACCTCCATAAACTGTAAGCCAAAGTTAACACACAAAAATCAATAGCTTTTCTGTACATGAAAAACAATCAATTCCTTTTGCAATAGCATCCAATAAAAAAAAACCAAAAAAAAAAAAAAAAAAAAAAAAAAAAAAAAAAAAAAAATCAAAGACCTCTACTCTGAAAACTACAGCACTTGGAAAAAAGAGATTGAAGAGGATATCAGAAAATGGAAAGATTTCCCTTACTCCTGGGTAGGAAGAATCAACATAGTGAAATGGAAAATAGCTATACTTCCAAAACTGCTATATAGATTCAATGCAATCCCAGTTGAAATCCCAGCAGCATACTTCACAGACCTTGAGAAAACAATCCAAAAATTCATTTGGAACAAAAAGAGGCCTAGAATAACAAAAGTAATTTTAGTCAATAAAGAGAAAGTAGGGGGTATCAAAATCCCCAACTTGAAACTATACTACAAAGGTACTGTTAAAAAAAAAAAAAAAAAAAAAAGCATGGTACGCGCAACGAAACAGACCTAAGAACCAGTGGAACAGATTAGAAGATGCAGAAACAACTCCAGACACACTCAGCCACCTCATCTTTGATAAAGGAGCCAAACCCTCACTGGAGAAAAGACAGCCTCTTTAATAAGTGGTGCTGGAAAAACTAGGTTTCAACTTTCCAAAGATTAAAACTAGACCTGTATATCTCACCATGCACTAAACTAAAATCAAAATGGATTAAAGATCTAAATATTCAAACAGAAACACTAAACCAGATGGAAGAGAGGTTAAGTAGAACTCTTGAAGACATTGGTGCAGGAAAAGATTCTATGAACAAAACCTCAGTTGCCAGTGAATTAGCGCAATGCAACAAGTGGGATGTCTTCTTACTAAAAAGCTTCTGCACAGCAGGAGAAACGAGCAACAGTGTGAAGAGACAAACCACAATGTGGGAAAATTTTTTCACCAGCTGTTCCTCAGACAAAGGTATACTATCTAAAATATAGAAAGAATTTAAAAACATCACACCTCCCAAATTTAAAGACCCAATCCAAAAATGGGCATCTGAAATGAACAGACATTTCTTAGGCAAAGTTCAAATAACAAATAAACATATGAAAAAATGTTCAATAGCACTGGTCATTAGAGAAATACAAATGGAAACCATGCCGAGATTCCACCTCACCCCAGAAAGAATGGCTGCTATCATGAAATCAATGAATTAATCAATGCTGGTGGGGCCGTGAGGAAGGAGGAACCCTGCTCCACTGCTGGTGGGAGTGCAGACTGGTGCAACCACTGTGGAAATCAGTATGGAGACACCTCAGACAACTAGGATTGGAAGTCCCATTTGACCCACTTATCCCCCTGCTGGGTATCTTCCCTAAAGATTTAAAAGAATCATATCATTGTGGTATATGTGCACTATGTTCATAGCAGCACAGTTGATAATAGCTAAAACTTGGAAGCAGCCCAATTGTGCATCAACAGGAGACTGCATAAAGAAAATGCGGTTTGTTTTATTCAATGGAGTACTATTCAGCCATAAAAATGAGAAGTTAGAGACATTCATAGCTAAATGGACGGAGAGCGAGGCAGTACTCTTAAGTGATACAAACAGGACACACACGTATAAATACCGAATAGTTTCTCTAAGTGAGAAAATGAAAGTGTAAATAAGGACTACAAGGTACAATCGATGATGTGAAATAGGAAGAAAAGGTGCAAGGAGGAAGGGGAGATGGAAAGGGTGGGGGAAAAGAAAGATGGGAACGGAATGAACATGAGAAAAAGAAAAAATGGAAACAAAGTCTTTGTAGGTGGGAGGGGTGGAGGGGAAAGGGGCAAACATGAGAACCAAGATGGATTATGTAAAGGTGCAAATTTCCAACAATGAATGTCGTTATATTGCATACATTAAACGTACCAATAAAATTAATTTTTTAAAAAGAGTCGGTGGTGAAGAACTGAAACTTTCCACAAGGATAAAGCCCTACTTCGAATCCTCTCAACTCCTGATAAGGTATAGGTTGTCCGCAGTTGCTAGTGCCTCAAGCAGATTTCCAGAACTAAAAGAAGGTTCTCTGGAACAGGAGATATAATCCTATGGAATCTTAAATTATCTCTAGAAATTTCACAGTATACGGCCAAGAACTCAATTTTTTAAAAAATGGCTAGAGGGCCAAGGATGTAGCTCAGTGGTGCCACTGCCTGCCTCACAGGCAGAAAGTCCTGAGTTCAGTCCTTGGTAGCTAAAGAAAAAAAAATGGCTAGACACAAAGAAACAATGCAACACATGAAAACTCCAAGAGAAGTAATGAGGAAAAAGATTCACAGGAAATTTAGACAACGAAGATATTGGAAATCAACTTCAGAATGACCACTTACTGCGTTTAAGGAAACAAATAGTGAAGTTGAGAATTCAGCAGACAACGAAAAAGAATTTTTAAAAAGACATGGAAGGAAATTCTAAACTAGAAACCTATAATGCCTAAAATTAATGATGTGATCAATGGGTTTAATAGCTGAAGATAAAGTATTGTAGAAAATAACCCCACAGGAAGCACAATGAGACAAAAGAGTGAAAAGTAAACCAAAGAACATAAGGGTCACTTGAGACATAGACGGAGTCTAACAAATGCCTGTCACTTTCCTGAGATCACTGTAACAAATCTTCTCAAACTTAGAAGCTTCAGACAGCGAACACTTACTCTCTTACAGTTCTGGAGGCTGGAAGTCCGTACCGAGTGCCACGGCGCTACAGTGACGGTGTCAGCAGGGCCATGCTCCCCGGAGGCCCTAGAGGAGAAGCCATCCCTTGCTTTTCCCGGCTTCTGGGGTCTGCTGGCGACCTTCACCTGTGGCTGTATCAGGCCTAACTCCGTCTCCATCTCCACATCGCTCTCTCTGTGTGTACAAGTGTCTCTGCCCATCTTACAAGGACAGCTGGAGTTGGGCTTGGACCCCGCTCACACAATCCAGGAAAATCTTCCCACCTCCAGACCCATGATGCGATTGTACCCACAGAGCCTGTTTTTCTTTATGGGGCTATAGATTTTGGGGGGGCCCCGATTCCAACAGTTACGCTACGTAGGTCTACAGTTTCTTATTACAAGAGAAAATGGTTTCTAAACAATATTTGGAAAGACGATAGCTGAGATATTTCAAAACCGGTTTCACCAAAATAAAAGAAAATAGATAATAAACAATAACTGTTACGGTTATTGAATAATAAACAACTGTATAGATGTCTCCCCAAAGCCTCATGTGGACACAGGCTTGATCTAGAGTGTGTGGAGCTGGAATTGATTCACGATGCCATGCTAGGCTCAAGGGCACCAGAATTAAGGGTGTGAGAGCTCCCTGCTCTAAGTAGTCGGAATAAAATAAAAGGGCAGGGAGACACCGTTAACTCCCTTGTTACCTTTGCTGCCTTCTGTGTGCCGAGCTGTTTCTGCTCTGCCTTGGCTGTTTATCGTCCCCGCCTTGGAGTTGGCTGATTATGGACTGAAACCTCTACACACTGTAAGCCAAATAAACCCCTTCCTCTTTAACATTGGGTTACTGGTATTTTTGTCTCAGCAACAAAAGAAAAGAAACTAACAAAACCCTGTTTTTTGATCTGCAGTTTCAAGAATCTCTAAGAACTCCAGCTAGCATTAGACCAAAGGAAACCAAACATCACAGCATGACAGCTGAAAAGGAAGATAGCAGAATTAAAAGAACCCAAAGAAAAACTGTAAAAAATGCTTTTAGAAGCAACAAGAAATCCGAGCCTCTCAAGGAAAGGATGGAAGGCTGAAGACAAAGAAATACCTTCAAAGTCCAAACACATATGTTCATACCTACATCTATACGTGACACGAACAACCTAGAAAATTATGGGTGAATTTTTGAAAATTAATCCCAGCTACTTGCAAGGAAGGTCAAAAATTTGAGGCCACTTGGGCAATGTCGGACCACTCTGTCTCGAAATAAAAAAAAAATTAAAAATTTGGTCTGGGGAGGAAGCAAACTGGTAGAGAGCTTGCCTAGCATTTGTGAGGCCCAAGACCCCGAAGGTCTATGTGAGTGACGATATTTTCAGACAATCATAAAAGATAGGAGAATTTTCTCCAACAAATTTTCACCATACTATAGGAACAACTAAAAGACAGATCCAGACGTGACCTCAGATGGAAGCCGGGCCTGTGGTCATGGAGAGGAAGGAAGAGGTGAAGGACTTTGGACCCACACTGACAGGTCGTGAGGTCCACTGGAGAAGCTCCCGCTGCAGGGGGGGACGTGGGAGCTTCAGTAAGGCTGACAGCACAATGGGTCAAAACCCTGAAACACGTCTAAATCCACAAGCTCACAATGGTTCTAAAGCATAAAAAGAAAACTAACTGGCCCCCCGCTGAAGGGTGAAAATGAACAAAAGTGTTGTCTTAAGTGTTGGATAAGGAAGAAAAATGCTTTAAATTGCATGTTCCGTATCAGCAGCTGCGAGCCTACGGCACACGTGCCAGAGCAGGCTGTTTGTATCGTTTAAGGCTCTGAAAGGTTCCCCATCGCTGTTCTACGTGAACTGAGCCCTTGGGTATTTAAAATGCGGAGCGGGGAAGGCAGCTCCATGGACTGTCCCCGGGGACAAAGAGAAAGAGGCTAAGACTGAGATCCCCATTTGCAGTACCTCCCAGGATGGATGGGTGCAGGCTCTGAGCACCGAGTCCAGCTGACCTCAGCACAGAGACAGCCAGTCCTGCCCCTGCCCCAGGAGACAGCCAGCTCCACCCACGCCTGGCCAGGGACGGACCTGAGGGTGCTCAGGCCTCTAGAGCCAACTCCTGCATCGCAGAAAACACCGAGGACAAGGAGGGTAGGGAGCTGCGGGGACACTGGAGCTGACGGAAGGTGGCCGGGCTGGCACCTGAGTCTGTGTGCAGGGGGAGCAGGGCTGGGGCCGAGGCGGACAGGATGGAAGCTGAAGGCCATTCCAGGGCTCTGGCTGCGGGGAGGCTGAAGGCAGGAGAGGGACCTGGAGCCTGCGGAGGAGGCGGAAGCCTTGAGCGGAAGCTGTTGTGGGCCCGGTGCCGCTGACCCTTCAGGGCTACGGACTACAGAGCCGGGCAGGGCCTCGGCCTCCAGAGAGCTCTGGGGGTGCGGCCGCTCCGGCAGGCGGTGTGGACTCTGTGTGGGGGACACAGAAGGACCTCGGCCGTCTGAGAGGAGAGCTGCAGCCCGGTGAGGGACCCGATGCCACGCTTGGTGGCTGATGTGGACAGTGCAGTCCCACGTCCCCAGGGGTCACACAGTGAGACACATGCAGTCGGTGTTTCTGAACAGAGGACTTTACTGGGGATCCGTGGTGTAGGGGGGGGCAAGGGAACTCACTGTTGGCCTCCAGGATCTCCCGAACCCAGCTCACGAGCGCAGTGACTCGAGCGTACACACCGGGAGTGGAGGTGTCACAGGTGCCACTGCCCCCGGACACGATGCCTACCAGGGTCCAGGCTCCATCCTTCTGGCACACCAGGGGGCCCCCAGAGTCGCCCTGCAGGGAGGGAGAGGACCTGACTGCAAGCCTGAAAGGGCAGCCAGGGCCCAGGTGCCTGGGCCAACTGAGGCAAGGTAGGGGCCATAGGGGTGACAGGGGTGGGCACAGGGGCTCTGCCCAAGCTGCTTCCGTCTGGGTGCCGTGCAGTCCAGCTCCCCGCCTACCCCTGAGCACCCTGTGCAGGTGGCCTCCCCTGTCTAAGCCTGGCCGTCACCTCCCGTGCCCTGGCACCTGTGCTCCCGGGGCCGGGTGAGGACTGAGCCCCGTGGGTGGCACAGCACAGGCCTGGGCGGGGGAGCTGCCTCGGGGTGCCTGTGAGCACCAGTGGGGCCTACTGAGGAGTGAGGGCGGGGGAGAGTGGGGAGCCCAGGCCTGTGTGCGGGGTCCCCGTGTCCCTCCTGGTTCTCCCAGACCATACCAGGCAGGAGGAGACGCCGCTGCCCCCAGCGCAGATCATCTGGTCAGTAATAGTAAAATAGTCGCTCAAGTAATTCTTGCATTCTTCAGTGGACACGAGGGGCAGAACCGCCTGCTGCAGCTTGCTGGGGGTCTCACGGGCTGCAGGGACAGCGGGACGAGGTGAGGGTCCTCTCCCCACCCAGCCAAGGTCTGCCTACTGGAGAGATGGCTCTGCTGGAGACGCCACACAGGGACTCATGCATCCGCTGAGGGCTCCCCTCTGGGGCTCTCTTCAGGAGCTTTCTGTCAAGTATGCATCTATTTGTCCTCACTTTATTTATGGTTGGTAGATGTTTTAAATATTTCTTTGTTCTTAGGTGGCACACAAGAATTGTATCTGTTTTGTTTTGTTTTTTGAGACAGGGCCTCACTATGTAGTTGAGACTGACCTGGAACTCACTATGTAGCCCAGGCTGGTCTCGAACTCACAGCGATCCTCCTGCCTCAGCCTCCCAAGTGCTGGGATTACAGACGTGTGCCACCAGGCCCGGCTAGAATTGTATCTTTTATAAGGGCTTTTGTTGGTTGTGTTGTTGTTTTGCTTTGTTGTTTTCTCGGCTTCTTTACCCACTTTTTTTTATTTTAAATTTTTAAAAAAGTCATTTGGATCACACATGGGGAATCCTGACCCAAGCAGCTCCTACCCCAGGGAAAGGCCAGGTCACACTCACAGTCGAAACTGGACAAGCCCCAGCCAGTGGTGACACACAGGGTCCCAGGACCAAAATCACCACAGGCACAGGGCAAGCACACAGGGGACACAGTTAGAGTTAACTGTGCAGGCGTGGCCAGCCTTATGAGGGCAATGTCGCCAGAAGCATTCTCAAAGCTGAAATCTGGGTTGGGGAAAACCTGAGGGCAACAACCGCAACCCCGGTGAGGCCCTGGAGCAGCCAGGAGACGCAGCCCTGAGGGACAAGCGCCTGTCCTCTGGGCCCTACCTCTGCGATCTCCAGGACCTGCACGTCCTCCTCACCAGAGGCCAGGTCGTACTCCCCAGCCACCACCACGTCAGACGTCCTGGGCACAGAGACAGGAGGGGTGGGGAACGGGGTGGGCACTGCCCTCCCTCCACAGCCCAGCGCTGGGAGCAGAGCCCGGGACACCTGCTCACCTGACCTGGCAGTGGGCGGCGGTGACCACCCAGTACGGGCAGATGAGGGAGCCCCCGCAGAAGTGAAAGCCGGTTTCGTCCTGGGAAGGAAGGAGGGGAGGTCACAGCTGCCACCTGGGCAACAACGCCCCAGCCTGGCCAACAGCCCAGCATCCCACGCATGTCCTGGGTCCCCAGCTCACCTGCAGGGACACCTGCCAGGGCCAGGAGCCAGGGACAGCGTCCTCACCATGGATGATCCTGGCCAGGCCACTCAGCACAGGCGGGATGGCGGGGCTCCCACAGTCTGAGAGGAGGGAGAGGAGGGGCTGTGTCCAGGCCTGACTCGCCAGCCTTGCAGAGCTACTGCTTTCCACCTCAGCCCACCCAGCTCAGGATCCCCACCCCACAGCTGCCTCCTCCTCCTCTGCAAGGCGGGTGCCCTGGCTTCTTCCAAGCCTTAGGCCCCAGGTTCCCCCACCTGCAGCCTGCTCACCCCAGTCGTCTTGCACAGGTGCAGAGGGACTCGGCTGTCCCCACCCGGGCCTGTCTGCCACAGGAGAAGACAGCTGGGCCTGATATCAGACTCCATGGGCTTGGCCTCTAGGTCCCCTCCCGGCCGTGTGGCCTGGGACCAGGGGCTCCACAGTGTTCTCAGCTGCTCAGGGGGAGCAGAACAACGCTGACCGCACAGGTCACCGCGCATCTGTCAGGCAGGCGGGAGCGGCGGGTGGAACTCACAGCTGTGACCACGTCCTGGGGCCTCCAGAGCCCAGACGCTAGGCCGAGGGAGGGTGAGAGGGCGCCGGTTCACAGCACCGGTGCTTCTGGAGCCACCAACCACGGCTGGGCCAGTGCATCTCTTCCACTCCTTTTGCAGGGAGCGAGGAATCTGAGAGCCCCTGAAGGACCTTCTCCTCCCTGCAGCCTCAGGTCCCTCAGCCTGGGTGAAGCCAAGGGGCTCACCTCCGGTTGGGGACAGAGCCCCAGGTTCATCTGGTGGGACCCGGCTGTGGGGGTCATGAAGGTTTAAGGCCCCCTCCCCTCCCCACATTCTCCAGGCCTGGGGGCCCCGGCTCCCCACACTCACCATGGGCGGCCCCTAGGAGGGCAAAGCAGGACAGAAGCCAAAGGGAGACCATGGTGCTGCTGTCAGGGAAAGTGGTGTCTCCCTGTTTTGGGGCCCCTTTTATGTCTCCTAGTGTCCCCTAAACCATGCCCAGCCAGGGAGGCCTGAGGGCCACCCCCACTTATCCAAGGACCTTGGGCGATAAGTGGGGGCCAATTTTCTCTCTCAGCCAGGCTGGCTCAAAGCCTGGAAATTCCCAGCCCCTGGAAAAAGGACATCTGCCCTGTGCCCACTCCACCTGCAGCCTGGGCAATGCCATGGCCAAGGCCAGTGCCAGGGCAGGAAACTGGGCCCTGCAGAACGCAGCTCACAGACCCTTTGCTGGCAGGTGAGGCGGGGGACCCTGCTGTTACCAGCACCTGGAGGGCGGGGGAGGCTCCCAATCCTGAGTTAAAGGCATTGTCCTCGCAGAGTTTCAAGGAGTCCCACCACTGGTGGCTGGGGCCTAAGAGTTCTCCACTGCTGGCCCAGACACTGACTGTGGACTACAGGGGCTCAGGGTAGAGCAGTTCAATGACCACGGATCTAAAAGCAAGGCACTGTGCAGACGACTGAAAATAACTAGGGGTCACTTAGTCCCGGCCCACTAAGCAGTTTCAGTGTGGAGGGGTGAGAAGAGTGGCCCAGGCCTCAGCATAGCAAAGCAATGCCAGGCTGTCCCTTCTCTGTGGCACTTAGATCTCCCTTCGCAAGTGAAGGCAGCAGTCTCTCTATGAAGCGTTAGTTTCTTGTCAAATGGGGCTTTGATGCCACACCAGAAAATGACAGAGAACAAACTCCTCATTGTCACAGGACAACATGACAGGGACGCCTGACACACAGGCATGAAGTAGAGGCCATGTGGATTCCCAGGACCCAGCGCTGTTCCCAGTGCTAGTGACATGACCACTCTACACCAGGCAGAACAGAACTCAGAATTGCAGAGGGTACGGTGACAGTAGTAAGATGCACTGTGTCCAGCTGAGTGACAGAGAGGCACAATCAGGGAACTGAGGCTTCCTCTAAGGTCCTGGGCTCTGTAGTCACCAGGCCCACGTCATCCAGGCAGAGCCTGATCCATGTGAGCAGAACAGTGGCACTGGGCTTGTTACGGCAAAGCTGTTATTTGAACTTGATGCATAATGAAGTTTCCTTTGTCCTTATCTTACAAGTTCAGCCTAGTGCTGTGTCTTCCAGCAGGGAGGAGTCACCACATCCAGCCTGTGGCTGAGAAGAAGCTCTGGCGGGTAGTGACCATGTAGTACAGGGTCAGAATCCTGGAACTCCTGGACCCCCATCTTTGGGGACTGAGGGCCCAGCTCCGCTTTCCCAACCAGTCCCAGGGCCTTCCCACATTATTCCTGCAAGCTGATAGCCTACGTGTGTCACCAAACAGCAGCCCGATGTGAGACCAAGAATTCATATTTCAGTTCCAGGCCGGGGGCTTTCTTGAAATACTAAGGTTTGCCAGACTTTTCCAGTCACCCATTCCAAGGAGGCGCACAAGCCCTTTGTGTGTCCCTCACCTCAGTGGTTTTTCCAGAACAGAAAACAGAAGCTGCCTGAAGTCATGGGGTCTTCTTGTCCACTGTGAAAGCTGAAGTCCTTGAAGACTTGAAAACGGGGCTTCTGTCCCCAGTAGGCACAGGACAGGGGAGAAAGAGCTCCAGATGAACAGTGGCAGGACTAGGGACAGCAGGCTGATATTTGTGTGCGTTCCCCGCTCTGTCTTTCTGTAATTTCTCTTGGTTCCCAGCCCAGGACCTGTACAAACCAGCCCTGAAGCCTGTGCACCCTAGGGCAGCTTGCTGGTGCCACCAAGAGATGCATTGTGCCACTTCCTGTCCACAAGGAGGAGGCTTCTGGGGAGCTCCTCATTTGCTAGTCGATGAACACTGATCAGTACAAACCCAAGGAAAGAGGGAGGGAGCAGAACATGGCCACACCGGGATGTGCAGCTCCACGCCATCCTGAGCCTGCAGAAAAGAGGCAGAGACCCTCACCTGAGCCACGGCGTCATGCGCTGTCCAGCAGTTGCTTACCTCCTGGGAGAAAGGTGAATCTCCATTCCTCAGTCGTGACTGGACAGGCGTTCGATTACAGAGGCGTTCTAAATGACAAAAAGGAGTCAGCACAGTGGCGCTGCTGTCTTCCGCCTTCCTGTTTTCCACACTCTGCCTCCAGGAGCCTGACCCTCTGGGAAGGGATCCAACCTTGCCCTGCATGAATCTTTCAGTGACAGCCAGACCTGGTGGCACACGCCTGTAACACAAGCACCGTGGGAAGGTGACGCAGAACCAAACTCTTCCCTCTTCTCCACCCAACTCATCTTCTCTCAACTCACGACCCAGGACGGGAGCCTGGCGCACCACTAGCAGTCACGCAGGCGCCCGCTTGGACTTGCTCTGTGTTTATCCGTCCTGTGCTGCCACAGCTGATCCCTGGGCACAGATCTGCTTGTAATCGAGAGAATGGATTTCTCCCAGCCTGGAAGCTGGCATCACGCCTGGGGCAAGCACCTCTGCTCTGCTGTCCACGCTGCCCACCCGGAGGGTGAACTTTATAAAGAGTTAGAGGGATGAAGTTTTTGGGTTTTTGTTTTTTTTGGTGCCGGGGATCAAACTCGGGACCTTGCACTTGCGAGGCAGGTGGCGGCACCACTGAGCTAAATCCCTGGCCTTTTTTTTTTTTTTAAGAGGGATGAAGTTTAATGAAAGAAGATACTTTATTTGTGAGAAGACAGAGGAAGGGGGAGAAATGAAGACAGACAGCTTCCCTGAGAAGAAACAGTCAGGGTAGGGGCTCCAGGTGGATGGGGAAGCGGTGGGCCCTTTGTCCTGGCTGCTGTTACAGGGGGTTAAGGAATCCTTCGCCCACCTGGATCGTCCCTAACCGGGTTGGCTCCCAGGCACCTCTGCCTAACATCTGTTTTTCCTGTGGTCAACATGCAGCTTGTTTCTGTCTGCTTATTTTCTTGCCCTTGACTTAACTTTTAAGGCCTTATCTTTGGGGTGAGCAGGGAGTAGGTAAGGGGCTGCCTTCTTCGTGGTTAGCTTAGAGTTAGCCGGGGCGTGCGGATATCTACTGCACTCTCTAACGACCCTAGAGTGAGTGATACAGGGACCTACAGCGAGTCCACAGCACAGGTATGTGTGACAGCGCCTAGGCGGGAGCACAGACAGCCTCCAGGTCGGCCCCCTTGGCTTGCCCTGTGTTCTGCTGGAGCCGGGAGTGGCTCATTGTTTGTGCACCTGACTCTCTCTGTGTCCTGCCTGGCAGCCATTTCTTGGTGCAAGTCTCAAGGCCGTTTGGTGCCTTTCTCTTGTTTATCTTTTTTATTCTACCCTGTCCTTGACCTGTTTCCAAGGGGAATTTTTTTAGTAAATTGTTTTAACTCCTAGTCAGGATTATCTAACCTAATGAGACCCCTGTTCCATGTTTTCCCTGTCTCAAGACCCTGGACCCTACACTGGAAGCCCGAGACCAGGCTGGTGGCAGCTTTGGGGTTTCTGAGTTGAAGGTGGCATCTCAAACACCACAGCTGGGCTTGGCTTCCCCTGGAGGAAGGGAACCTGCACCACTCAGTCTCAGGGGTTGGGCTGCAGCACCCCACCTGCAGCTTCCTCACCTACAGCCTGCACTGGGTCACTTCTCAGCCTCCCAGCATCCCCTGCCTGCTTCAGGCTCCATCACTCACACTGAAAAGTGGTGACTCCCCGCTGTCCCAAGCTCTGCAGAACTGGCCCCTGCCTGTTCTCCCCAGGTGCTCTTCACTTATGCCCACAAAGCCCGTCTTCTTCTGATCCCCTTCCTGGACTCCCTTGTATTGTCAGCCTGCAGTCTGTCTGTCTGCCCACTGTCAACTATTCCCAGCCCTGCCCTCTCTTACATAAATGCTCCCGATGTTGTCCTCTGTGCACCTACACCAACAGGAGCTGGGAGTCAGCTTTTCCATCCCTGTGACGCATTACCTGAAGCGATCGTCCTACAAGGAAGAGCCACGGGCTGGTGACCAATAGTTTAGCAACGGGCCCTTGTGGGACCTTTTACATCCAAAACTACACCATGGATGTCTTGACTCTGCTTTGACCCTGCAGGAAGAAGTAAAATGTGTTGTAATGAATGTAATCATTAGGTGCTGTAAGCATGCAGCAACAAAAAAATTAAGAAAATGAATGATCTCATTAAAAAAGAAAGACCCTATGTGTTAGCTGCTTTTCTCTCCTTTCAGAGACAGAATAACCTACACTCAAAGTTAAAAGCAAAAGGGTTTATTTCGCTCACACTTTGTGGAGGTTTCAGTCGGTAATCATCTGGCTCCAAGGCAGGGTGGATGGCAGACAGTCATTACAAAGAAGAAACAGCACAGCCTGCACAAGGTAGCAAAGGCAACAAAGCAGCCTTACCAGTGTCTTCCTGCCCCTTTTACCTTACTCAAACTGGTGAGCTCCCTTCGGACTACTCACACCCTTAATCCCAGTGCCTTCCCTCTGGGCCCACCATGAATCAACCACATACTCTCTAGTACAGCCATCTCTGGCATTCTGTCCCTGGCCCCCCAAAGACTCATGCACATCCATTTATGCAAAAGGCATTTAGTCCATCTCTAAGAGTGCCAAAGTCCTAATGGCTGCAGCATTGCTAAAAAGTCCAAGTCCCAAGTCTCCTCTGAGATTTAAAGCAAACTCTTAACTGTGAGCCCCAGTACAAGTGAAAAGAAAATTAAGCACCCAGCAATCAGTGGCACAAGACAGACATTTCCATTCCATTACAAGCAGTGGGGACACAGAGGAATAGGACCAAACAAGTCCAAAATCCAGTAGGCCAACATTAAATCCCACATTTCCATGTCCAGCGTCCTCAGCAATCTGTGGCAAGTTGTAAACTCCAAAGGGGCTGGCGGCTCCACCCCTATGGCACTTCTGGTGGTCATAGTTTCCATGCCTTCTCTCTTGGACTGGTTTTGTTCCCTCCATGCAGATTCTCTAGGACAATCCACCCTCCTGGCTTCACTTCAGGGCCGCTGGGGTGCAAACTCTGGTTTCTGC